GGTTGCTCAAAAAACTGAGAGTCATGCAGCCACCTCCAATCTCTGGCAAGTCACACCGTCCACCATATGCTGCGAGTTCATCAGCGAGAATGCGGCCGTAGGGCTGAAACCAATGCCCGCCTTGATAAAAGCCTGCAATCAGTGACCAGGACTGGAGTAGGACAAGTCCGTCTAGAACCAGGGATATTTGATAGGATTTGAACAATGTTGACAGTCGAGGCGGGATTGTGTGAGTCCCATTGCTCCTATTTCTGTGTGAAAAATATTGGCAGGAATTTGTCTCACACGTGTCAAAATCAAGCCAACTTTGCACCTGCTGTCAGGCTGTCGCCGTAGCAAAGAATGCGATGTAGTTTGGATTCAGGTCGGTATCGGCCAGCTGCGAAAAGCAATGGAATCCTGAAGTCAAAGGTGCCATAGTGGCGCCCTATTTGATGCTGTCAAAAGCACCCATCAATAATCTGTCTTAAATGGTTGGTTTATGATGTTTATGTTGGTTTGCCACGGTAATAGAAAACCCTTGCATAATCTGATGGAAGCCATGAATCCAAATAGAAAGCAAAGCTCGCTTTGTTTGGTACATACAGCAAGGAAGGACACTCGTGTGCGACATTTTTACAGGACACTTCTGGAAGACTTTTGCAGGACTCTTGAGCGGCACTCTTGAGCGGCACTCCTGCAATACACTTGCAAGACACTCTTGTTTGAGATTCTTTTGCTCTTGAACGGCACTCTTGCAAAGCACTCTTACAGGACGGTTGTGTGAGACTCTGTGAGATTCTTGTGATTAGACTCACTTTGCTCTTTTGCGGAACGGTTTTGCGTGATACTCTTGCAGGACACACCTCTTCAAAGATAACTACTCTCGGTGAGTGTTTTTCCAGGACGCATTTGCACAATTCCTTTTGGACACTCTTGCGGGTTACATTTTTGCAGGAGACTCTTCTAGGACACCCTTCTGCGACACTCTTTGGACTAGGTCGCTCTTGCCGGCTCTCGCCGACTCTCGCCCGCCATTCTTGAAAAGCATGCTTGTAGGACACTGTTGCATCACTCTTGTAGAACATTGTTACCCATCAATCTTGCAGGATACTTGTCAACCACCCTCGCTCAACACTTGTAGTACACACTTCTCGTTTGGAATGAACCAGTGCAAGTGCATGTTTAGGTATGGTTAATCATGTTTAGCTACTACAGTGTTCATTGTCTACCAGTACCTGCAAAGCAAGACCCTGAAACAGCAACTCGTCCACATTCAACAACTCCAATACGCCGCATTGCAAAGCTGATCAGTATGGCACGGTGGTGCAAACATCGTCCATCCACCTAAGAATCTAAGACCTCCAAATTCTTCCCCAATGGAGAGGCCGGACACAGCATCCGCTTGAACGGTTGCTACACAACAATCCGCGAACACATGCCACCCGCTACACGTTCGGGAAAAGGAAGAATGGAGGGATACGGAGGGTTTGGTTGTTTGCGAGAGTTTGGAAGTCAGAACTGTGTGCTTCAAATTTTGGCAAACAGTCGGTTTGGAGCTCTAGGGTGCTCTATGTAGCCAGCCCACCCGCACCCCTGCATAAATGAATGGCAGCATCAGCCCTCCCGCTGTCTGGGCTGAGAGGCTCACTCGAGACTGCTACCACATTCTGAGAGCTGCCAAACTGACTTGGCCTCAACCCCAGGAAACCAATCGCCCATGTTTGGGAGCAAGGCAAACCATTAGAAAAACAAGGTTGTGACCAGCCGCCACATCATTGCATCCTACGCCTACGCTGCAAGCCAAGGCTTGCTAATCTGAGGTACAGTTTTAAACTACCAACGCACTGCAACCAAAAACACCAGTCAACAAATGCTGCAAATGCCAATTTGTCAGCGGCCAGGGATGTCAAGCGCAAGAACCTCTGAGGTGCAACATAGTCACGAAGATGTCAATCTGATGGGGGCCATCTATCGCGCAAGCTAAAATTGAGTGAGACGGCTGCTTCCATGTGCGTCATGATTGCTTGCTTTCCACATTGCATGCAAGTCGCTTTGTCAGAAGACTGAAGACTCAAACATTCTGTTTTGGCAAGACTGAGCTTCCTGTACGCTTGACATCCAGGCCCAACATCCACTCACATGTGCACATCGACCTGGTCAGAACTCAGTCGGCTTAAATCTATGTCTATTCTGTACCGAGCCCTTTGGGGCGGGTTCAGTTCTCAAAAGACCATGGGAGAGCCTTGTGCAATCCCCTCGGCATCTTCTGTTATTCCCATCCACAGAGAGCAGAATTCGTGAATGTGGCACTCAACCGAAATGTGTAATTGTTTTTCATATCCCAGGCAGAAGATGTCAGAGATTGTCTCGTCACAGCTCTCACAGCCGATTAGTCCTGCACTGGGCGAGTTGTTGCTGAAGCTCTCGAGTCAAAGAACTTCTCAAGTGACATTGGATCAACATGCATGGAGTAGATAATGTTGCTGGACAGGGAACTAAGGAGTTGCCGTTTTTGTTTGTGCGCCACATGTAAGGGTGCCTTTAAGATTCTCTCAAGTTGCTCAATCGAGGGTGACAAGAAGGGCAATAACATGTTCGGCCATCATCTTAGCGCCTTTCACTTCGCAATTCACTCTATGGCCATTTTTGAAAGGTGATCATAATGATCGCCTGAAACCAATTCATCCTTCCTGGAGCCAGCGATGCCGGTTCTCCGAAAAGCTGCGTCCGTCCCTTCATCTGCGAATCCTCGCAAGACGCTTTTCCTGAAAATCTTCCGAAGGCTGTCTCAGCCAAGGAAGATGGAAACTACTGTCGCTGTGTCTGACCAGGGCAACACAAGAGGCGCTTCAAGTACATGTTGAACTTGTGGACTTGAATGCAGCCCTGCAGGGCCAGTGCAGCTCCAGAAAATAGAAGCAAGGCTTGAGCCTTGCAATTGGTACTTTGCAGCAATTCTGCGCATGTTGTAGAGACCTGCTCCAGTAGAGATATCAAGAAAGAGAAGCTGAGGTGATTGATAAAGGGTGATAAAGGGAATCCGAAGGGGGCAAAACCAACAAGCACGATGCAGCACGAGGCAATTCAGCAGGAATCTTGCCAAAGGCCATTCCAAGCTTGACAGCCTTGGCATGTCGGCTCCAGGTGCGCTGCCAAGGTGGAAACCTACACGCTTTCTCATGGTGGATCTTCTTCCGATTTGTCAAAACAAACTCTTTCACATGGAGGAACAGCTAGCAGCTACAGTAGAAAATGATGTGAACAACTTGTTCGACTTGATTCCGAGCTCGCGGCCCATCAGGGGAGGGTGCACCGTTTGCTCCAGCAGTCGACCGCGGCCGCTGCCAAAGCCCCTCCCGGCTCTGCCAGCTGTGGACGCCAGGAACAAAGCAAACTGCAGAACACAAAAAGTTGGAGAAGTCGGAATACTTTAACTTTAACTACATTGTTTCACATTGTCAATGTATGCTTCACATCGTTCAACTTCGTACTCCGTTCCCGGCAAAACATAGCTCAACCGTCCCCATTCACAGATCAATCTGCACCGCGCAGCTGAACCTCAAGACATCTTGGTCGGCTCCTATGAGCCCACCATCTCGCTACTGAACAAGGGCATCGCTACTAGGAGCAAAGACACTACTAGTATCAAAAATTGACAAACAAGGGGGGCTTCACCTGAACTGCCGCGTGTTCTCCTGTATTGAGGACGTACCTCCACACCACCCTCCGCACCCTAGAGAGCACCCTGCCCAGCTGATGCCCAAACAGAGGTTGTGAAAGCACCCACGTCTTTTGTGTCTCTTTTGAAAGGCACCCATCAGAGCCAGCCCTGTATTCCTCACTCATGACATCACAGTCTAGGGAGACAAAACCGACGGAGTTGTTCATCGCTGCGTGCTGAATAGAATCGAAATCCAAATGAAAACCACAGTGTGCACAAAACAATTTGTGCACAATACGTAAATCCACCCTGTCATCAGTCATGAGACCAAGTGGAAGATAATGGGGACTGGCATGCTAAGAAGGTATTGATCTAAAGCGCAAGGATATGTCATCAACCAAACCTCTAAATGCCGACCAGGCTTTCAGATAGCTCAAAGTTAATATGCAGTTATGACGTAGTTCTTGCGACCAAAAGTTGCTAAATGTCTTGAAATATATATAGAGAGAGAGAGAGAGTGCAAAGTCTAGGTGCTACGATACATCGGTCACACGGCGGGGCCACTTGCTTCAGGTCCCAGCGAACACACTCTGGGCCAAAAATACACATCCTCCCTCAAGAGTCAGTCAAATGGTGCTTGTTTACGAAAGGTCAAGTTCAAGGCCGACAATAAAACGATACCTTGGTTCTGACAATGTTTCTGTGGATTCTCGCACTTGGTGAGGGTAGCGAAGTGAGGCACTGTAAACAGAGCCCCATGTTTCTGTACAGTACCATTTGGCAGTGGACGCCCTTCAGATTCACGACTGACACTCGTCACAATCCAAAGCATGTCTAACAACAATTGGCAAACAAGTCAAACAAGAAACCGTTGAGGTGGAAATGGTTTGTGCTGGTGTCTTACTCTCTGTGTGACTGTCTGCCAGGTGTGCACTTCTAGTCAGGCGAGATTTGTCTCTCTCACCCATCCTCAAAAGTCTGTTCACGGTGTGATGTTACTTGGACACCTTGTATCTACCAGTGTGCGATCCATGAATGTAAGCTTTACTTTACACACCAAGCTGTGCCGCAGTGCTAACTTTTCACCTTCCCCCTCTCAAGGCGAACTCAGGCACCGTGTTGGAGATTGATCGGAACAAGCAAAGTCATCCGTTCTGAGCCTGAGATTGACAAAGGAAGAGATGCCATACATTGTACAGATTGCTCAATCATTCTATATATATATATACGTAACTATAAGTTCTATACATTCCTCAATTCTGCGGTTTGCTGTGAAATCTGGAGTTTGGTTTCTGCTGGCAGGTCTTGTGAAACAGCTCATACACTAAAGCTTGCGCCACTGAGCTCCCTGCCAATATTATTCTCTAAATTCGTTTGCTTGGATACGTAAACCTGTACCTGAGACATCTTGGAAAAAGCTTCGCAAACTTGGCACCAAAAGATGGCCAAGATACTCATGTCTGAGCCTTCAAGCGAGGAAGGCCTAGGAACAGCACAGAATCTGTTCAGTCACGAGTCATACCATGTCATACAGCCTGAGTTGGGGAGGTCAAGAAAGGAGGCCCGGACTCCGTCAGTTTTGGGATTAAAAAACAAGATGGAGCCCACGAACCCGAATGCAAACACGTTCAAAAAGCTACATTACATATGTCCAAATGACACTCTTGTAGGACACTCTTGTGGGACACTCTTGTGGGTCACTCTTATGGGACACTCTTGTGGGACACTCTTCTGGGTCACTCTTCTAGGAAACTCTTGTGGGACACTCTTACGGGACACTCTTGTGGGACACTCTTCTGGGACATTCTTGTGGGACACTCTTGTGGGACACTATTGTAGGACACTCTTGTGGGACACTCTTGTGGGACACTCTTGTGAGACACTCTTGTAGGACACTCTTGTTGGTCACTCTTACAGGACACTCTTCTGGGACATTCTTGTGGGACACTCTTGTGGGGCACTCTTGTGGGATACTCTTGCGGGACACTCGTGTGGGAAACTCTTGTGGGACACTCTTGTGGGACACTCTTGTAGGACACTCTTACAGGACACTCTTGTAGGACACTCTTGTAGGACACTCTTGTGGGGCACTCTTGTGGGATACTCTTGCGGGACACTCGTGTGGGAAACTCTTGTGGGACACTCTTGTGAGACACTCTTGTGGGACACTCTGGTGGGACACTCTTCTGGGACACTCTTGTGGGACACTCTTGTAGGACACTCTTGTGGGACACTCTTCTGGGACACTCTTGTGGGACACTCTTGTGGGAAACTCTTGTGGGACACTCTTGTGGGACACTCACTCTTATAGGGCACTCTTGTGGGACACTCTTGTGGGACACTCTTGTAGGACACTCTTGTGGAACACTCTTGTAGGACACTCTTGTGGGTCACTCTTGTAGGAAGCTCTGGCGGGGCACTCTTTTAGGACACTCTTGTGGGTCACTCGTGTAGGAAAACTCTTGTGGGCACTCTTGTGGGTCACTCTTATGGGACACTCTTGTGGGACACTCTTGTGGGACACTCTTGCGCGACACTCTTGTAGGACACTCTTGTGGGTCACTCTTACCGGACACTCTTGTGGGACACTCTTGTGGGGCACTCTTGTAGGACACTCTTGTGGGGCACTCTTGTGGGACACTCTTGTAGGACACTCTTGTGGGTCACTCTTGTAGGAAACTCTGGCGGGACACTCTTGTGGGACACTCCATCTGCGACACTCTATCTGGGACACTCTTTTGGGACACTCTTGTGAGACACTCTTGTAGGACACTCTTGTGGGACACTCTTGTGGGCGACTCTTGAGGACACTCTTGTGGGACACTGTCGCGGGACACTCTTGTGGGACACTCTTGTGGGACGCTCATACGGGACACTCTTGTGGTACACTCTATCTGGGACTCTCTTGTGGGAGACTCTTGTGGGTCACTCTTGTAGGACACTCTTGTGGGACACTCTTGTAGGACACTCTTGTGGGACACTCTTGTGCGACACTCTTCTGGGTCACTCTTGTAGGAAGCTCTTGCGGGGCACTCTTTTGGGACACTCTTGACACCACCAATCATCCCGCTCACCAGCGACACGCCGCGTTTACACCAGCCTGTTTCGCGCTCCCCTCTGGCACAGCGCCGCGCAAACGCACTTTCCACCAAGTCCGCGCAAATCTCAATGGCACTGCGACATCACGCGCGTCGCGTCGCCACACGGTCTGCCCACACACTAGAAGCACACGTATCACATGATACCACAAATCATCCCGCTCACCAGCGACACGCCGCGTTTACACCAGCATGTTTCGCGCTCCCCAGTGGCACGGCGCCACGCAAACACACTTCCCACCAAGTTACCAAGGCCGCGCAACTCCCAATGCACTGCAACATCACGAACGTAATTTCCCCACACGGTCTCTACGAGCAAACATATCACACGATACCGCACCGCTCACCAGCAACACATGCGCTTACACCAGCATGTTTCGCGGCACGGCGCCACGCAAATGCACTCTCCACCAAGGCCGCGCAAATTCCACTGGCACTGCGACATCACGAACGTCGTGTCGCCACAGGGTCTGCCCATACACTAGAAGCAAACATGTCACATGATACCACGAGTCATCCCGCTCACCAGCGACACGCCGCGTTTACACCAGCCTGTTTCGCACTCCCCAGTGGCACGGCGCCACGCAAATGCACATTCCACCAAGTCCGCGCAAATCTCAATGGCACTGCGACATCACGCGCGTCGTGTCACCACACGGTCTGCCCACACACTAGAAGCAATCGTATCACACGATACCACAAATCATCCCGCTCACCAGCGACACGCTGCGTTTACACCAGCATGTTTCGCGCTCCCTATAGTGGCACCGCCACACAAACACACTTCCCACCAAGGCCGGCAAATCCCCATGGCACTGCAACATCACGAACGTAATTTCGCCACACGGTCTGCCCATACACTAAGTCACTAGAAGCAAACATCTCGCATGAGACCGCCAATCATCCCGCTCACCAGCGACACGCCGCGTTTACACCAGCGTGTTTTGCGCTCCCCAGTGGCACGGCGCCGCGCAAACACACTTCCCACCAAGGCCGCGCAACTCCCAATGGCACTGCAACATCACGAACGTAATTTGGCCACGCGTTCGGCCCATACACTACAAGCGCCTCGCGCGAAACGGTCTCCAAAAGTCATCCGAGCGTTTCGTACGAGACTTCCTCCAAAAGTCACGCTTCGAGGCTGCAAGATGAGCGTTTCGTACGATTCGTACGAGACTTCCTCCAAAAGTCACACGTCAAGTCTCCAAAACAAGCGTTTCGTATGAGACTTCCTCAAAAAGTCACACGTCAAGTCTCCAAAACGAGCGTTTCGTACGAGACTTCCTCAAAAAGTCACTCGTCAAGTCTCCAAAACGAGCGTTTCGTACGAGACTTCCTCCAAAAGTCAAGCGGAAACACCCATCGGAGCACACATCACGCACCCCTCCAAGCAGTTTCGCGATTCCAGCCCCTCCAAACAATGAACCCGCTCACACGCCAATCCCAATGTCACAGCGACATTCACCTCTACCTACCACAACTCACAACCTCACGATTCCCTGCGCCTGCCACGAATCAATCCGCGTCCACGCGTCTAACGCGCACAAAGTACTGCGCCTGCAACGAAATGTCACCTCCGTCACACCTCGCAACCTCACCATTCCCTGCGCCTGCCACGAAAATCGCACTTCCACACCTCAAAACCCGCGTAAAGTCCTGCGCCTGCCACGAAAAGTGACAATATCATCTCATGTGCGCTTTAACAAAATTTGCACCACACCACACGTTTGGAATGATTTCGACCCGTTCTGAGCACACTCCCATCCACCAAAATCGCCATTTCAGCTTAGACTCGTCACGAAAACAGAGCTTCGATGCCACACCCTGAAACGCCGCATCCAACACCCCAAAATCACCACTCTCCAAACGCTAGTCCCAATGGAACTGCGCAGCAAACTGCGGATCTCACAAAACGCTGCGCCTGCGCAGTGAAATCATCCTCCACACTTCAACATCTTACATTTTCACACGATTCCTCGCTATTTGATCTATTTGACACGAATCTGACACGTCACGTTTTCATCCGAAACCCTCTCCAAAAGCTTCCCCCAATGGCAGCGGCCTTAGCGCCCTACTGCGAACGGCGGCGGACGGTTGCGAACAGTTGCGGACGGTTGCGAACGCAGAGACAACTCGTCGCGAACAAGGCTCTACCCCCAGACCCCCAGAGTTAAACGAGAACCCTTCGCTACGCATTCGGGAAAAAACAATAGTGAGGTCGACCAAGGCACGTTGCACGGTCGGGTATGTCAACAATACCCGTGTGCAACAACTTACGCATCTTTATCTGCTGATAATATCTAGGTTTCTTTTCTAGCTTATACAACTCCCTTTTAACAATTTGTCAAAGCGCTGCGGCCCCAGCGACTTCGACTCACGACCCTTCTCAGAGCGCAAAGTTGACGAGATTCGAAGGCCTTGTCTTTCCCAGCAACATGCGAATTCTTGGCAAATGCTTCTTGGACTCTGTAATTGCAAAAAAAACATGGATCCGATCTGTCTAAATCTTGAGCTAGGTTGTTTTTTCGCTTTGAACCTGGCTGCACAATGGTGAGCAAGGGCCATGGATCTTCAATAGCCCATTAATAAGGCTCATGTGTTCAATACCAGGCAGCAACAAAAAATCTACAAAAGCAGCCGCAGAAGCTGCTTGGAAGTGAAGTAGCATCATACCTTGGGCATGGACCAATCTGCACACTGTTGCGGACAGTGCTTGGATCAAAGGACGATTGCGCAACCTCAGCAAGCCAAGAGGCGCCCTGTGGTCACAGTGTCATATGCTCACTTCTTCGCAGAGAGCACCACAAACAACCAGCAAATCAGTCTGAGCATTTTGCTGGAACAGGTTCCACACGCGCATTCAGGCTCTTCCCAATGGTGCGACGAGCCTGCACCAAATTGCTGAAAAGGGCTGCACTTCCTGGGACTTGGATTAGGATAGGTGCGCCTGGCATAAGAGAACTTTGCACTGCACATTGAGGCCATCATCTGCTCTAATTATTCTAAATTACGGCATAGTCCAAATTGATGGAGCAAAATTGTAGCACGGGTAAAGCACCTTCTTTGCAGTTGATGCTCCAGTTGCCTCAGCTGCACATCAACAACTGGCGGATATGTGGCGAAGCTACTCTTCACCGACAGGATCCATCAAACCACTGAAACAGTCTTGGAGATTGGCAGCCCTGGCAGCCCGGGCAAAACGATGGGTGCCTCGGGGGCATGAACTGCAAGGCGTTCACGGGCGCTCCAATCCAAAAAGGCGTTCAAGGCACTCAGTTCCTGGCAATGCCGGCTCTGGCCTACCATGCGGGCCTTTTGGTGCTTGGCCCGGGTGGCCACCGGTGCCTGAAACTGGCATCCCAACCCAAGGGTGGGAAACAAAGATGAACAAATTCGAGCGGAATGTCCACAGGAGAAAGATGCAGCAACTCTCAAAAATTGAGTTCAAGTTTCAAAAAACTTTCGGTCTTGAATAAGAACATGCAAAATCCAGCTGCTTGTTGCCCTGAGGCGGCCACAGAAGCAGAGGGTACTGCTGTGTCTGCTGTCGCCTCTGGAGAAGTCAAGTCAGCTAAAACGCATTAGCGCGTGGCTTGTGCAACGCGTTCTTGTGGTTCTGTCACGATGGAATATTCAACCAAGTGTCCAGTCAATATGCGTCAAATATGTCAAAGCATTTCAGAACATGTCAAAGTTCAACCGTGTATCTGCGTGCGCCTCATTGACTGCGATTCTTGCCGGTGTCCTTTGCAAGACCTGATATACAAACTGGTCGCACCACTAAAGTCTTCGAATCTCACTTAAATTCACATGCAGTTCTTATGATGAAAATGTTCCTGAAGGTGTGTATGTCCGCCGACCCCTTGCTAGTAAGGGTGAGTGCCAATTTGTTGATTCGTTTGACATGGAAAGTGATGAAAGTGCGGGCGCACAGCGTCGCAGTAACATGCATCAATCCAACGACGACTGCTTGGATGGGGTAATTAATCCAGCGTGGAGGGTGGATACTGCCAATAGCATCAAACAAGCAAAGAAGCCATGAACACAAATCACAAATTATGCGCGTAATTACTATCCGCTTGGAGGGCTGGCAAGACCTCCCTGGTATAATCAGGCCTTCTGTGAAAAAATATGATCTGTCATGTAGCTTTCTGCTTCCTCAAAAAAATTGGCGTGCAATAGCACTCTTCAGAACTCCTCCTCCTTGTAAAAAGCATATCCAATGTTTACATAAAGCTTTTAAAAATAGTGCAACTTCATGGTGTTGAGTCTAGATGAAAATAGGATTGAAGCACCTTCCTTTATCATACAAGGGACCTGAAGGAGCCTCCCTTTACAAGAGTTCCACCCCCCATAAGTGTATACTAATGCAATCTCAACTACCAGCTTCCCTCGTTAAAAAAGAAAAAGCAAAGCTACACCGCACAGCAACGGCTTACACTATGCTAGATCCTTGACAGGTTCTCGTTTCAACGGATCCAAATCATTCTGACATGCAATCGGAGCCTCTTCACTGCATGATCTGCATGCATCAGCAAGATCGATTAGCATGACCTTCACTCATCCAGATTTAGAATCAAGTCAATAAAATTAACGCGCAGTTCAGTTCAGCACGATTACAAAACTAGATCCCAAGTTAGTTGCTCTTCATTCACCGTACAATGAACGAAACCGGTTGATGCTCGACAGGCTGGACGGGAAACGCGAAAATCACAGTGTGCGTCGTGCCTCTTCAACCTTGCAAGTCTTGTGAACCTGAATGTCTTGAGCTTCACTCCACGCATGCTTTCTTTCCACTTGCAGTAAAGTGGTAGATTGCAATGTTTTCATATCTTGTAAGAAGAGGTTTCAAGTACTTGCTGCTTAGGCATGTGCCATCTCAGAGCTTCCACTGCTTTTGGACATCACAGCTTGTACCTGTTGGGCTGCGCAAGTTTGTCTCCAGGCTGGACAAACACTTCATAGGTCCCTGCTCAAGCTTTCTTCTGGGCACGCGCATGGATGAAGCTTTTGGTCGTCGAAAACTCTTTGCGGCCAGACCTGATCGCGCAATCAGGATTTTGACATAGTGGTACAAGAACAATTCAAGCACTTGCAATTTCCTTGAAGTCTACAGTCGGACGAATGCATATAATATATAATGAGACTACAGCGGAAGTCAAAACAATATAGAGAAAGAGAGACAAAGGCTCAGGCACATCAACGTCGTGGCCGCAGCAGCGCGGAGGAAGTTGATTGTCTGACAACAGAATGTTTCATGTAGCTTTGCACAACCTGCCCAACTAACGCAACACAAGTAGTACAAACGTGTTTTGTAGCTGAGTGTTTGTTCTTCCGAGCTCCACCTGCTCCTGCGCGGGTGCCCTGTCAGTCAGGGATCACACTCAAGGCAAGCCATAAAACTGGCGTCTCAAGAAGGCACATTTCAAGCATTGAACAAAGGCTCCAAAAACAGAGATTGAACAAAAGGAGGGCACTGCCAAAGTTGGCAATCGAGTTGAGTATCACCCGAAAAATATCAGAGTCCACCCTTATTTGGTCCTCAACCTTTTTAAGGGAGTTTCTATGCTGTTCCCGTTACAAGTCCTCTTCTGGTAAAGCTTTGGAATGGCTCTGTCAAAACCACTCAAAACCTGTATCCCTCAAGGTACGTTTTTGAAAATCCTTTTCCAGTGGCCCCACGGACAAATTTGTGCTCTTGACTCTCGAAGCGCGCGCTGGTTGGCACCTTTCCTACATTTACAGTATTCCAAAACTACAGGCCTGCAACTTCATGTTTGGGTTCGCCTAACAAATCTATAGAAGCTAGGATAACACATACTCGGGAAGTGCGTACTGAATTGAATGCCAGTGCCACACGCCCACCTAGGTATGAAAGCCTAAGAATCCACAAAGTTCCGAGCCGAGCGAGCGGTCGACAAGAAAGGCGACAACGCGCAGAGTCTGCCGACCTACCTCCACCTGAAACAGCCTGAAAGCAAGGGAGGACCAGTGGAGTCAGTGCATTCTCAAGCCGGTGCAGGATCAAGTGTCCTTGATCCCTTCCCATCTGTGATCATAGGCGCGCAGTAGATCACAGACGCTGCGCGCCCCTGCTCAGAAAACCGAAAGGTTCCCGTTGACTCCAAGGGTTTCGCACACACGCCTCCCCGAAGGGAGACAAAGGAAGACTAGGGGAACCGGCTCACGCGCACGTGTGCATGCAAGAGAGACAAAAGAGAAGACATGAAAGGAGGACGAGACAAGATGAAATTGTGTGGTCGCCGATAAAGAAAAAACGAAGTGACAAGGGACGGGTGAACCAAATCTCATTGAAGCGAACCTGGGGCACCTATGCCACGCGCGCGTGTGCACAACCTAATGTCCAGACAGAAGTGCGCGCAAAAGAAGAAAGGGTGAAGACGACAGGGCGCGAAGACAGAAAGAACGTGAAAGAAAAGAGGGAGACGGTGTGTGAGGGGGCAATGAGGAAGGAACCAGAGCCGATGAGCAGCCGAACCTCCTGAAAGACCTGCTGCAAACCCCTTGATTGTTTGTAACCTAGCTGCGCACAGGGGAGGGAGGGGACGGACAACAGAAAGGATAATCTAAGGGCGCACCCAAAAAGAAGAAGGGTTCCCAGCTATGACACAAGCATCCAGGGACGCCCGAAAAGAAAATCGAAAAAGGAAGAGTTCTGAGAGAAGGGGACAGGAAGAAGGAACAGACGTGTGTTCCCAGCTACAACAAACAAGTCCAGGAACACACCAAAAATGGGGTGCCTGGATATTGCATCCAGGGGTGCCCATAAGAGAAGAAACAAAAAATGAACCAAAAGGGACAGATGTCACACCAAGGAGAGGGGGCCGCCTGGGCATTAGATCCAGGATGCCCCAACAAGGCAAAAGAAGAAGGGAGAGGGAGAGGGGGAGAGAGGAGGGGGAATATGGTTTGGACGGGCCCCAATGGGCCGACAGAACTATGACCGCCGAAAATGGCTGGCTGCTCTGGCCCGCTGTGGGCTACTTATGGCATTCCAAGTCGACAAGTCTTAACTGGCGTTTGGCGTAAGCCTCCTACGCTCGCTGACTGAGAGGGACGTAGACAAACCCCCGCTCAGCGCGGCCACAGGGCACACTCTTCGGGTACACCCTGGGCTGGCGTGAGGCCAAACACACTTGGGAAATGCATAGTGGCTTTCATTGAAAGCCACTGCCACACGCCCACCTCGGCATGAAAGCCTAAGGAGGCAGGAGTAGATTGTAAACTGGAGTGTTGAGAACGCCTTAGTCCAACAGAGTTTTTGAACCTAAGTAAGCAGGATAAAGTTCCTTGGTAGTCAAGTGTTCCTCGATCGAGCAGAGTTCAAACGCTCCAAAGCCGCCCTGATAGCGGAATGTGACAGTAACATCATGTGCTTGCAGTCTCACAAAGTCAAGGCCCTCTATGGAGGGGTCAGAGCTTGCTTCTTGCAAGTCGAAACTCAGAACTGCAACGTTGTAGGTCATCACTAGGAGGTTGCCTGCATTACCGGGTTGAATGTCGTCAAATGGCTCAACAGGCAACACAAAAGTTAGGGGCTATCGCTAGTGCGTTGGAGGCCATTGAGCCAAGGGGAGGGGTCATCGCTACGAATTCGAGACTCAACACACAAACGGCAAGAACCAACAAGTTGGAGGCCATTACGCCAGCTCCAGAACGGCTCATAAGAATTGCGAATTTGTGATTGTGCCCGCTGGCAGCTCAAAACTTCCCAGTGGAAGCTCTGGGTTCAACATACCCTCAGCAAGGGGTATATATTGACTGCAACTGGGAAGGCCCCTGCCATCTTTAGAGCCACCCGTAGGTGCTCGACGGTGTCGCCAGAGCTGGCACGCACCCTACTCACACTGAGAAGTGATTTTGGGTGGTGGAACTGTAGGGACCTCCTGAGTCCACAACCTTAAATAGAGGTAAGTACAAGGCGACACCGTCACAGACGTGTAAGAACTCAACCTGATGAACCTGCAACAGCCTGATCGATTAGAGTGTCAACTATTGTTCAAACATGGTTCGAAAAGCAGGTACAGGAATGTGCATCCACATTCCCTTCCGGCTGAATCCCTTAGCTTCGTTGGCATGGCTAGGGAAACAGCTGCCATGCCCCCTGCTATTAGACCACTCGAAGCTCTATGCTCTATTGTCATGCAATCTATTCTGAACATCCGCTTGTGATAGCGGTTTACACACACACATTCCATGGTAAGTTATTAAGTCACAGTGGTTTCAAAAACTACCCCTCTGCATCAATTCAATGAGCATTTACAATAATCTATACTGTTCAGCACATATGACACGCAAATCGTTCTACTATTCCTGGCCCAGCCAGAGTAATTAGATGATATAGGACATGTTGACATGTTCGATATTCTATCTATATACTCCTGGATTATTATGTACTGTGACAACCTTAACGATGACACAACGTGTCAGAGAGGTCATGATAAGTCCAAGTTCTGTTTTGCGGGGCATCAATCAAAGGAATGTCAAGGTTCAAAAGGATTGGACAGCGGCAGGTTATCTTCAAGCAGAAGGGAAACAAGTGACACAGTCTGAGATTGCCCGGGTTGGGTGGGACCTTTGCTTGCAGTCCAAGAGGCCTCGTCGTGCGATTGAGCCTTGACAAGCTTCATATGAGCAAAAGGTCAGGCTCGAACAGAATCTGCTGTAATGACAAAACAAACTGCTGCGATGATATACTCTTGCCTACAAGGCCCACTTGCTTTACAAAAGCATACTGGTACAGTACTGAGGTGCGAATTACATCTAAGATTCCAGCACACGGGACACTGGTCCTGCGTTCTGAGTCAAAGAAGGTTGCGCAGCCTGGGCAAAGGGCTGTCACTTCCGGAAGGTCTTTTGGAAATCGATTCTCCTCCGTTTGTGGGTCTAGTCAAGTCTGTTTCGATGGTGAAGTACGCGTAGTGATATGAAGCAACACTGTTTCACGATGAAGGAATCAGCGATCTTACAATCTTACATTCCTTGCAAAAGAGGAGATGATGGTAGAGGCGTGGCGCAGGAGGGCAGGAAATTTGATCGAGTATCAAGTACATTCAACAATCAGATCTAACTACATAGCAGAACTTTCAGCATGCGGCCTATACTTCTCAACACCTCAAGCAAAGTTAACCGTTAACCGGGAAGCAGTAAAAAAGAATGCAAAAAGGCTCTAAGCGAGTGGAACAGCCTGAGACACCGGTGGGGGAAGACAAAGGTCAATGCACAAACAAGTTCCTTTTTGTGTATATATAGCAATATTATATATATACTATATAATATATATTATATCACATATATATATATATATTGTGCGTTTGCATTTCCTAAATGAGTGTGCTTAGAATCTGGACCACTTGAAGCCCAGCCGTGACAAAGGCATCGCTTGCCACAGCCACAAGCAAAAGTGCGGCTGCAGCAATGCCAAGTAATGCCTGAGCCCACAGAGAAGTGTTTCCAAAAATGAATCATGTGGTGCCACAACTCAAGTCAGCATGCGAGTGCTTGATATCTCCGAAGCGTGATTGTCTTGGTGCAAATTGTCCCGGGCGTGCTCTAAAACTCCAAGCAGACTCTTGGCCACGCTTGGCCGTTGGATAGTCTAGTCGCAGTCTGGGCCCTTGGCCTGAGCACTGCTTGGCGCTGTCGCGCGACCGCGGCGGCGGCGTTGCATTGCCATCGGCTTCACCTGCATTGAGTGTCTTGCCTCTGGCCCTCACACAGGCTTCAGTGTCCAGGCTGCAGCCTGGATTGAAATCGGCACCACGGCACACCAGGGGGGAATGCTGCTATATTAAGTACCTTCCTGAGCCCAAATATGTGGCAGCCTGGCTGAAGAGAAAAGTCTTGCCACACAATGACAGCAAGGCACCAGAGACATTGACAGCAAGTGTGTAAACGATGTAAACGTGTCTAGACTCTAAACCTCTCTTCTGCAACTTCGCCGTTGGATTTGAAGCAGAGCGACGAATAACAAAAGGTTGTCAACTTCCAAGGATGAAAATGAATTGAAACGACTCACTTTCGCTTGCATAACGCTAATGCACACAGTTCCTTGCCAGGGCCATCTTCATACCCATATGGGTTGTTGGACTGCCATTTCCAAGCACTCTCGCACATCTCCTCGCACTGAATTACTAAATTCAACAGTACCCGTACATCTGCTTGCACACCTTCCATTCCTGTTGATAAAACTTTGGAGGTAATCCAACAAGCCATCTCCTTCAAGCCTCGCTTCGTTTGCCACCCAAAATCTGCTTTTGCCTGAACAATGCATTCTCTCAAGGCTCCATGAGATAGAATTCACAGCAGAATGAATCTATACGAGTGCTCGTAAAAAGTACACACGTGTTGATTTCACTGTTACACTTGACCAACTTTGTTCCTCGCCTTGGCAGCATTTGCAATCACCGTGCCAAGGTCACCCGGTCTTCGATCCACAATCTGCCAGAAGAAATTGCATATATAGTTTATATAATCGTTAAGCACCACAAGTGGTTGGCAGTGCTGGAACTGGGTGGGCTCCAATGTTTGAAGGAAAACCTCGTTGCGATCCCCAAGTAACCTCGTCCATTGTGAACCGAGCCCAGCACAGTTGGCGTGACTCTGAGCAAGTGGCATGAAAAGAGGCAAAATGGGAGATCAGAAGCAGGGACCACAGCAAACCAGAACAACAGCCACAAAAACCTAGCGTGAAACCGAACGCTTGCGAGCTTGGATCCCCAAGTAACCCGAATGAACGAGCTGCTGATAGTGACCACACTAGTGAGCACTCCGCCACGCCCCACCTATTTCACACATTCACAGAACACATGCTAATTAAAGATGCCTGCATGAACAAAAAAAATTGTCACATCACGTCACATCTACTTCAAGAGCATCAAAGCTGCGTGGCCTTGTAGGCAATCTTCTTTCCACAGGCTTCCTTCCGTGTTTGTCAACATAAGTAACTTGAGAAGTTGGAAAAATTGTGCGTGGTCGACCTGGTCAACAACTCAAGGGCTCTCCCAAGCTCAATCCATGAGACCAACATGTGCTTTGGGATTTCTCATGCCTCAAAGGCTTTGACCATTTCAAGGACCTCAGTGACTCAAAAGAGCTTGATAGTATAGTATGATAGTATAGTATGTGACACATGTGTATAGTATAGTAACTTGAAGAACCCGCCCCCCATATCTCAGTCAAGAGCTGAATAGCCAGTGCCAGAGCCAAGGTTGTGGATAATGCAGCCACCATCCATTGTGAAGAGCTGCCAGATGAAAAATAACATCAGTGTATATATATATATAGTCAGAATGTGACAAGTTGAAATGAGTTACTCTATAGCAGCCAGCTGCTGCGCAAAGTGTCAGAAGTTCAATGACTCAGAGATGCCTTCTCTAGGGCACAAATGTGACCCTCCGCAAGGTCATCCACATGGATGTAGTCCTTGGAAACTTGCTGCGGGCTTTATAATTCCTTTGCCAATTCAAACTCAACTGCACTTTTCAAAAGCAATTGCCGGCAGCAAGAGGCTCTTGCACGCACGCCAGTGCCGTCTGGGGTTGGGTAATCATTCCTGAGTTGAGCGGCGCAACAAACATTTGTCTCACAAGCGTTCGATATCTTCCAATCTCTTCAGATTCTGACCCAAACACGCTGAGGCACTCTCTTCGGCCCACTGCCACCTGCTGAGAAGGTGTTCTGATGAGTGCATTGCACATGCGGCCTTTGCCTGCTGGACAAATGGCATGAGATTGTTGGGAGGTCCGTGCGGATTCTCGCCTATCCTTGTACTCAATCATGGAAGGTGCAATGTCATCTTTGATCTTGACGTTGCTCTGGTTTTCGGATCACAATATGCCAACAACATCTACAACACTATGAACACAAACGTCCTGCCGCTCGGATGCGCCTGGCTAGAACGGCAAGCATGGCAAAACATCAAAATGCAAAACAACAAATTACCCAGTGCTTCCAAGTCAGCAAAAACTTCGAAGGGAAACTATCAGAATGCCAACAACATTGGAAACCTACACTGAAAATAGAGCTGGACTGAGCACATAAGCCCAGTGGAAATGTCAGAATCTGATCGAACTGCAGACAGTACACCTACTGTAATGGGCCCGGCTGGTCTGGCTACAGTCTATTGCCTAGAATTATTCTACTAAGTCTTACACCTTGCATTCGCATTCCCATTGAGAATCGGAATTCGCGGTCTGGACCCAAACTCGAACGTCATGTGGATAGAAAATCCTGGCTGCAGTTCCAACTGTGACTGCACCACTTTGAGACAAGTAGAGAGACAGCTGGAAAAACAACATCAAATCTTAGACAAACAAAGAAGGTGTAAATATATATAAGTATATATATGCATATATATATATGTGTGTGTACATAGATATGGACAAAAAATCTATTGCACATTACACTCAGCCGCGGAAGTCACGGCATAGTAGAAAAAAACTTGTGTTTCTTAATGGAAACGCGACGCCAGGAAGGGGGTCCCGGCATAGTCCTTGCAAAAACAAGTTTCCCGCATGGAAACGCAACTTGAGAGGAGGGAGACACGAAAGGTAGGACAGCGGGAAGAGAAGAGAACGCGAGAGGCAGGAACAAAAATGCAATGTTCGACATGGTGATTTATCCCCTCGGAGGCGACCTGTCGTAAATATATATTCATATACTCTAAATGTTCAAACATATGCTCTCGAAATGTTCAAAAAGATTCTGAGGAAAAGAAACTTGCCCCATAGCTCAGATCATCGGTGAGCATTGAATCGGAGCATCATAGGATTTGAACTATCCTGAAACCGTAAGAGGCTCACGAAGACGTTCCCCAGGAGAGAATTGACGTGCTTCACAAAACAAACTCTAGGTATGTATCCCCTCCAGGAACACCTTTCGTGATTATGCACTCTTTCTGAATGTTCAAGAGGGTTTCAACTATCCTGAAATCATGAGAGGCTCACGAAGACGTTCTCCAGGAGAGACTTGAATTTAGAGGGGGGGGTCTGTATTGAAAAATCAATTCCAAGGGGGCGGGGGGGGGGGGGG